CCTCCTCCTTCTATCTCCTCAATCATTGTGCCCACTCTCCCTGATCCGTTGGCTACCGGTGTTGCTGCCACAGGGGCGGCGGATTGGTTGGGGCAGTCCCGGGCTAGGTGGTCGGGCTGGTGACACGTGTAACAGACGCCTAGATTAGCCGCCGCACCGCTTACAGCCCGAGCGGGGTTTGCTGCTTGTGTTAGGGGCGCAATAGGGCGCATCGAGCTCATCATGGTTACTATCCGGGCATTACGCTCACACTGCTCTTTCTTGCTTTCTTGCATTAGGCTAACCAGTATTCGAGTTAGCTCCAATATGGCGTCTGACTCACTGGTTTCGCGGGAGGAGTTGGAGAAGGCGCAAGTGGGGGAGGTGCAGGTGCGACTATCACAGACAGTCTCGTGGTTGTGTCTGGTATCGGTCTTAGGTAAGTAACGGGGCCAGAGACGAAGGCCATGTTTTCAAACTTGTTTTGGAGCGCAACTAGTTCGGCCTTCGCTCTAACCAATTCTGAAGAGTCCCCTTCCTTGGTGTGATCTACCCCTTCTAAGAAGCTAGCGGCAAACCTCTTCTTCATTTCCTCCACAGTGTCCATGATCTGTTGCATGGTGTGATTGATGGGGGAAAACTGCTTTCGCAGGTTCGCCCTCATCGTTTGACTACGAAGCCCATCGATAAACAAATCTCTCCCGACATTTTCGCCCCGTTCAAACTTAACAAACAACCTATAAAACCTACTGCGGTATTCGGTGACGGATTCGAGGGGCTTTGGGAGGCTTGCTCATGGTGGATGTAATCAAATTGGTTTAAGAAGTCTCTTTCGAAGGTAGGAAGATCTATCCAAATGTAAGTAGTAAACCAATGGTGCGCATCCCCTCCCAACCTAGCGGAGATGTTGATCCTAGCCTCATCATTGTCGTATTGTTGTGCGCGTAGCGTGGCTAGCCATGCTCCGACTAGATGATGTGCAGGGTCAAAAAGGTATAAATCAGGCGGAGTTGCCGGGGCGTGTGCTCGAGGGGCTAAGGCCCCACCAACATTTGGTGTCGGATTGACATTCATATTGGTAGCCTGTCGACCGACCGATCTACTCCGGGTTATTATAGGGTCGCGTCATGGCGCGTTTCTCTGCCTAGGGTACCCTCTGTTTGCCAGATCCTCCCTTATACCCTACCTGATTGGCAATCTCTGGACCTGCCACGTATCGGCTCCGATACCAACCTCACGCCCAGAGCGACTTCCTGATCGGAGTGTGAGTAAGCCTGGAAGTACGAAAAGGGGGTGTGCCAAGGATTTTAGGAAAGTGGGGGTGGAGTCCCAGGTCAGAAGTGAGATCTCTTGTGGCAAGTTTCAGGGATAGGAGTGCAAGAGGATAGGCGCGGGTCGAAGTCTAATTCTATGATGCTGAGCGTGGGGCTACCGCCTCTGTTGGTTCCGTCGTCTAGGTCGGACTCGTATTTGGTGCACCGTCAGAACGCTATGGCTATCGCGTTGTCTGATCACTTGTTGGCGTCGTACGTTACTGGTCTCAGAATCTGACGCAACTGGCCTTAGCCGAAGACAGTGCGCCCGTCGTTCTTCCTCCAAGCGAGTTCGCCGGATGAAACAGGAGGCTCGGTACTCGCGGTCTTGCAAGCACTCCGAGCATAGGGGTTGGGGCCAATACGGAGCGATTGCGCACCAGGGGATGATGGTCAGGAAATGAAAGGGCAATATGCGGTGGTAGGGAGGGAAGTCGGTTTCCAGAATAATTACTCCCGGTCCCTCGACAAGAAGGCGGCATGTGTACGAGCTGGGGAATTTAGGGTGGTGGGGAATGTGCTTTCGAGCTCGGTCGATATCCCACTCGCAGATACATTCGTTTCCCACCAGGGTATGAAAGTTCAGGAAGTTCTCCCCTTGGTCGTGCAGACAGACACACGTGCTCCCAATACTCTCGGAATTCCTGATCCCTCAGACACTCACGGTCGGTAATACAAAAAGGGAGTTCAATATTCATACTGCGGGGTGAGGCGGAAACTAAGTCGTTCGAAAAGTTGGACCGAGTACAGGCTCTGCAGACACACGTGTACGCCACGTTCTTCCAGTCGGGCTTACACGTGCGTGCACAAGGCTTGCCCTTCGGTCCGATGGACAAAGACCAATGATCCGCGTCTCGTACGCGTTGGCCTGTTAACCGAAGGTGGATAGTCCTATCGTGAGACAAACATCTGATCATCTAGCGTGCTTATTTAATCCAAACATAAAAATACCCATCATCCATATGTCCAGTTTCATACATACATAAACAAAACGCAGGTGACAATCGTTCATGCATCAAGATCTTACAAAATTCGATCGTAGGCGATTAATCAATCAATGTGGCTCATCTATATAGAGGGAGCCTGAGGAGCAAGGTGGGAAAAACAATCATACATCAATTAGAGACAAACAAACTTGAAGAAAAAATATGAGATGCCGATCGAAAAGAAGGACAAGGCGACTGGCGCCGGTATAAAAATTACTCAGAGGAATGGAAGAGAACATCACCACAACACATTACGTCTCTCTCTCTCTCTTTTTTCACAGCATCCCGATGCGGGCAGTTCGTCGTCGAACACCTACACAGAGTTGTCACCCCGCTTAATCCGAGCATGGCAGCCAGGTTTGCCCGTGTGCCACAGTCCGTTGCGGTCCCACGTCAACCCCACATGCCCAGCACCAGCTCGTCGGATCGCCCAACTCTCTACTCTCCTTTTGAATCTCGTTCGTTAGTCGATCCTCTCGACTGCGCTAACTCCTAGAATTTTTAGAGAGCGAGTTAATCGCGCTTGCGAAATTTATAGTGTGCATGCTTGCGCGAGATACTCGGGGTTGTGCCTAAGTGGACAAAGAAAGAGGAGGAAGGAAGTGCCTACGTCGGCATGGGCAGGCTGCGGCGTGGGGGACGTAGCCTCACTCCACACATCGATCCAGTCATGCAAGCATTCCGGCCAATTATGACAAAGGAAGAAGTACGCTCGTATAGGGATGCCACAAAAAATATCAAGAACAGGAGGATTACAGTTGCAATTATGCCCGTCAAAACAAAAGTTACAGTTACACGCAAGGATTAAGGCGTGGAAAAGTCAGAGCATAGATCCTGTCGATGCAAAGCGTGCGCAAGCAAGAAGCACTATGCAAAAAAAATTAAGACGCGCCTAAATTCCTGATCTAAATCCTAATTGCAAAGAGAAATTTCGAACGAAGCAAATTCCGAGAGCCTCCGGGGCTCAACCTCAGTTGAAAATTCAAAAAGATTTTCCCGCGTGACAACCACGCCAAAATTCTCATTCCCCACAGCAGAACAAGAAAGAAGCTATGGCAACAGTTATTTTTTGCGCTCGCTAAGGGGCGACCAGCTACCAATCGTCGGAAGATTTCCCCGGCCTCGATTTTGAAAAACAAGAAAAGCAAGGGCGCCCATGTAATTCCGCGGGCCCTCCCGACCCAACCCCCGAAGTAGCCTTGCGCAGAAAACCGCGCGGTTGCAGAAAACAGTTCGTCACACCCCCTTATTGAGCGACAGCAGTATGTCCGTAGCCCTGTCCGGTGGACCAGAGAACGGCTTCCGGTGGACAATGGATGGGCCGGTGGGTTGGCGAGGAGTTTCCAACCATGGACATGCCCCCCCCCCCCCCCCCCCCMCTCTCTGCAAAGGGCACAAAAATACGGCGGAAACTCCTCCACCGCCACTTTTCCGACCGGAAACCGTTTTCCAAGCTGTGGGGTCCCGGAAAATTTCACCCCTATCCTGAAATGGGCTTTCAGGAGGGCCTGCTTTGTCCAATGGAGTCCCAGATAAGTATGTTCAAATCATTGCATCTGATGAGTGCCTTTGTCCAGATATACATGTAGAATGTTGAGTAGTGCAGTGAGGCCCTTTGTCTTCTTTCTTGTTTATTTCGCGATTTTGTCCTTTATCATAAAAAATAACCCCAGTACCCTCTCTCGACGGAGAAAGGTAACCTCCCTTCACTAAAGAGAGGTACCTCCCTTCACTGAAGAGAGGTAGAAAGCTATGCTTGCAGGGGTCCCCTGTGTATAGCCTTACGAGTCGTGGTAGGTAGGTAGTGAAAGGAAAAAGATATGTTCCATGACATGGCAGAACATGCCAGAGGTGAGAGAAAAATATATGGCTTTCCCCCGATGAGGAGAAGGCAGACTTTAGGCATCGTTCGACACACCTCAGGGACGTGATTCCAAGGATTTCGTCTTCGTTCCACCTGTCCTCGGAGCCGATTTTCGAAACAGAAATGTGAAAACACTCCGAGGACAAATCCTCGGGCTCCGAGGATTTTCCAGCCAAATCGTCCTCGGCTCCAAGGGACCTCGCGAGGTCCCTCAGAGTCCGAGGATCCGCGATAACCGGGGTGTCGACGGCGAGTCCAAAAGGGAAATTGGTGGTCGGAGGTGGTCCAGTGGTGGTCCTCCGTGTAGAAGACGGACATCGCGAGGCGCCGACGTCCAAAACGTCCACCAATGGCCTCGTCTTTTTACCGTTGTCGGGGATTGGCGGTACGTCCCTGTCGGTTCGTCGGGCGGCCCCACGGCGGTGCCATGCCGGGCATCGGACGTTTTCGAGCGGGTCGTGGAGGTGTCGTAGCATTCCTGCGGGCTGCCCAACGATCGGAAACACAATTTTTTTTAAGTGTCCACCCCCGGTCGGTGGCTGCAGCAACTTCGTACGTTGGCGTCTTCCCTCGTGCAATGTGTGTCTCCGGTCGCCGCGGTCGCGACAGCCAAGTGCGTCCCCTCTCCTTCATGGCTGACCTGTGCCACAGGCTGCCTTTGTTGCTGCTTGTTGCTGTGTTGCTGCTTGCCGTTGTCGTCTTTCATATTTGCATCCTCGGTCGCGTCCCTGGGAGGAAACACAGGCGGCGAACGACGAAGGCGACCGGGAAGATGGAGAAGGTGCAGACGAAGAGGACGATGTCCGTAGGGGCTGGCGGGTCGTCACGTCAGCGTTGCAGCTCTGCAGAAGGCGGCAGGCGGCCGTACGACCCGACGCTGTACAGCCACCTGCCGTCCCACGAGATTCCATTGCCTCCGAGTGATGACGACAGCGACGACCCCCGATCATCAACGATTCCTCTGGCAGCGGTTCGACGCAGGATTGGATGGGGAGCCAGCTGTACAGACAGCCCTCGACGCCAACGTACACTGATCTGCTGGAGGGGCGGACCCTGGTTGGTTATGACGCAGGGCTCGTAGATCTCAGCTTCGGTTTGAGGTCTGGGAGTGGCCAGGACGTCACGCACACCGTTCTCGTGAACCCGGCTTCTGGCAGCAACAACACAGCGCCTTCGGTGGGGGCGTGTGGCCTTCCTGACACCCGCGGCCGGGGTTCTGGTCACTCGGGCGACGAACATGGACTCGTTTCGCGAGGGCGGGGGGCAGTGGGCACAGTAGGTGTTCGCACGTCGGGAACGAGGACAGGTGGATCGACAACGGCAGTCGGCGCAGTCCACCGAGAACGGGATGACGATGACTGCTATACTGCGGAGGTCGTGGGGCGAGAGGTTTGGGATGATTATCGGCGACAATCGCGTCAATCTAGCACGTCCGCCATAACGAGAGGGGTGTCGAAGATCAATGTAGGGGCGGACGACACACCCGGCGATTGCGACGGTGCGGGTGGTGAAGATTGCTCGGCAGGCAACGGGGGCAATGACAACGACGAGGACGACGACGGGGAAATGGAGATTCGTCCGGTGGGGAAGAAACGGGGAGGGCCTAGGGCGACGAGCAAGTCCAGGGAGCCGCGCGCGGGGCGGAGAGGCAAGAAGAGTGCGGGAGATGCGTCGGCAGGCGACGGAGCGAAAAACAGGGATTTTTGGACCGTGGAACACATGATTGCTCTTGTCCGAGCTAAAAGAGACCAGGATTTGCATCTTGCTGGCCTCGGCCACAACATGGGAAGGATGAAGACGAAGACATGGAAGTGGGCCGATATCGAGAGTAGACTCGTGCAAATAGGGGTGACGAGTAGAAAGGCCGACGACTGCGGGAAAAAATGGGACAACCTGTACATGCAGCTCAGAATTATGCACAAGTTCATGGGAGAATCGGGGAAGCCTGATTTCTTCACACTGACGCCGCGGGAGAGAAAGGAGTGGGGGTTCGATTGCGGATGGACGAGCATGTGTATTCAAAGATGAAGGCCATGTCCAGGGGCGATCACACTATACACCCCACGAACCTGGCGGACACGGGTGCGGCGGGAGGTGTTCAACTGCTCGGCCGACCTGGAGGTCGGAACGATTCAGGCGGTAGTGACGGATGCGGGGATGGGCAGGAGGACGATCAGGGATCTACGCGGAATTCAAGTTTCAGCGGCGGCGGTGCGGGCGGGTGCGGCAAAAGGAAGAATGTGAGACAACAGACCTTCGACACCATTGCGGACGTCATGAAGGAACACGGGAGTCTGATGGCGATGACAGTGGACAGCGCGAGCAAGAGGCAGTACTCAATTCTGACTAGGCAATGCGACATTCTCGAGCAAGAGCTAGAAGTGCAGAAGGAGCACTACGTGAAGGCTGACCAGGCGAACCTGTTGATGTGCAACGCCCTGATGGAGATTGGTAAGGCGATCCGCGAACGATCATGAAGTCGATGGGCCACACATGTCCAATGTCCACGCGAATGTCTCGTGTGTGCTTCTGGATCGCCTGCGTTGCCCACGTACTGCGTGTTGTTGTGCGGTGGTGGGCAGGTTGTGCACAAACGACGGGTCATTTCTGCAAGCGGTTTCCATTGCAAGAGTCAATTTTTTTGATTAGTTTGAAGGGTGTTGATTGTTGTCATGCCCGTCGACGCGTCCTTCGGTTTCCAAATTACGACGCCCGATTATTGTTCAACGCCTGTTGATGTAACGCGTTGCAGCCACGCGCGAATGGGGATCCACTGATCCACCAGGGTTTTCTTTTTTCAAGTTTTTTTTTTGGGGCGGGGGTGTCGGAGAAAGGAATGGGTGGCAGGGTATGTTTTTTTTGGGCGGGAGGGGACAATGGAGGACAGGGGCGCCTCGAGTTTTTGGGGGGTGGCAGACGACGGAAGCGTGCCGGGGTCTTTCGACCTCCACCATGGTCCTCCTGCGCGCCCACACGCATTGTTGGCCATGCGAGGGATCACCAGAAGCCTTCGGGAAAAAACGGTCCGTGTACGATCGGTCGGGGGGCGGGCTGTCGTGGACGGGGTGGCGTGTACACGGTGTGCGGCCATAGCGCAGCGCGTTGAAAAGGGGATTCCGGGCCGCAGTTCATACGACAGTACTTCATTTTCCACGTCTCCGACGGTGTCGTCTGAGCAGTGATTCGTAGCCGCACGCCAGCACTTCCTGCCCTTTGCCTCTCCACGCTCAAGCTTTGTGCACCGCGTGCAGTCCCCCTTCACGCGCCGCAAGCTATGAATCCCCCTCGGCGGCGGACAGGCGCGGCCAAGTCCGCGGCCGCGGCCGAGTCCGCGACCCCGCCGACGCGACCAGGTAGGCCGCGGATGCGGAACCATTTGGGTCCGCGATCCGAGCTCGACCCTGCGGACGCGTCCGCGGGTGTTTCCCTGGCCACAAGCACGTGCTCTTTTTTTGCATGGCCATCGTCGATCTCCACACGTCCTTCTTCCACGTGCTCCTTCCCGTCACGCACGTCAGGCAACTTCCCGCGTCGTTGATCTCCACGCTCGAGCTTTGTGCACCGCGTGCAGTCCCCCTTCACGCGCCGCAAGCACGTGCTCTTTTTTAGCTGGCCATCATCGTCGCGGCTCCTTCCCACCACGATTGCGCATCGTCCACGTGTTCCGTCGTCGACGTGGCCGTCGTCGATCTCCATGCGTCCTACTTCCACGTGCTCCTCAGTGAAAGCCAGGAAAGATAGCGGGGCGAGCGACAGGGGGGAAACCCAGAGAGGCAAAGGGCACGTGCCTAAGTCGAAAAGGCAGCGCGTTGAAGAGGCGAGCTCCGACCACACTGGAGACTTCCAGCCAGAAGAAGTGCTGATGGTGGACGCGCAAGGGACTTCAGCGGCGGCGCGATTGGGTTTCGGGCGGGACGGGGTGTCGAAGGAACAACTGTCCGCTCTGAAGCAGAGCATTGCTGTTGGTGTTGTCGGGGCGTCGCAAAGGACCCCGAAGGCGATAGGGGTTGTCATAACGGAGGTGCGCGTGCCGAGGCAACTTCCCGCGGTGGCGGGGCAGGGCCAGCCACGTCAGGCACTCCCCCTGCAACAGGTGGGGGCTTCAAGAGGAGGGAAAGCACAGTCCACGCAAAAGGGCAATGCAACGGCGATCGGCACTCGGACGGCGGCGGAGGATTACATCAATAGAAGCGGAGTCGCCGAAGGTGCGGCCGAGGAGAGGGTAGACGACGTCCGCCGTGACAATGGAAAAAGAGACGGGAAGTGGGAGGGCGACGACAATGACGACCGTCCACTTGTGACGAGGTTGAAGGGAGCCGCAAAGGAGGATGATCTGGAGGAGAGATCGAAGTTGTGGGTTGATTGCGACTCTTTCTGGGGTCAGGGACCGGGGAAACCCTTGAGGTAGGCGGTTGGCGAGTGCCCTGACTACTTCATCGCCATCGCCAACGGAGACGCAGGAGTTGAACCCCCTGTGATGCTCATACTGCCGCAGAACGACGTGTCGTGCTTCAAGATCGAGGACCCTGCGCAGCGTGAACCGGCTCTGCGCAGAGCGCGCAGCGTGGAGAAACTGGTGCTGCGCGCCATCCACGGCTGGATTTTCAAATCGTTGTCGTGGTCGGCTGGATTCGCTCGTGCAGAGTCGTACATCAGCGTCGACATTGCCACGGACGTGGCACGAGCAGTTTGGCAGGGGCAGGAATGGTCGAACGTGGTGACTGTGTCCCCTGCACTCGTGTACCACACTCTGGGGATGAAGATGGACGTGCCTCTGTGGTTCGCGGGGGTGAAGATTGTGGATCGGCCCGAGGACGACGACATGGCGGCGCGGCAAGAGGCGACAGTTCTTCGCGTCGCGGAGTGTTGGACATATGCACTGTGGTGTGGACAATGGGCGGATGACGACCGTTCGCACTACGAGGCATGCCTTTACTCGTCCATGGTCGCCAAACCGACAATGATAGCGGTGGGGTTGTACATCTTCAACTGGCGGCGATACATCGTCGACAGCGCGAACCTCGTCTTGGATCGTATAGGGAAGGCTCACCTCACGCTGGGAGAATTCCCGCACTGCATTCCGGAATGGTGTGACTGTGGGTTGGTGTTCGGCCACAACGCCACCCTGAAGAACGTGGCGGAAGCCGCGAAACACGGATGGATCGGCAGGGGGCCCGCGACGGAGGAAGAGGGAGACGAGGACGGTTGACACGTGGGTGCGTCCGTGACGCAGCGTCAGGGTGCAGATCATCGACTGATTGGAGCATTGAAAGACGCAACGACGAACGCAGCGCCTGCGACCGCAGATGGGGCAGCACGGGTGAGATGGGTGCCGACTGGTGTTGGTGGTTCAGCGGGGGGAGGGGGGGGGGGGGGGGGGGGGGGGGGGGGGGGGGGAGCGTTAGGCGGGCGGTCATGGCGGCTCCAACGGCGTGTGGTCTCGAGTGTCGTCATGCATATGTCAGCCTGTAGTCTTCGTTGTACATGTGTAGTGAGCGATGCATTCGTTTATTTTGTGTCATTATTCGGTGATTGGACCGCGCTTTGTACGTTTGCTCCGCCGTAGGGTTAATTGGGTCGGCGGACTGCTCCGCCAAAATGTGCGTAGACGGCAGGACCAGTCCGTGTGTAGTGGGGAACACTTGAAGTGTCGATAGTCAGACAGAAGGGGGAATCGCCGCCTGTGCGATTGATTTGTTGTATTATGAACTCAGTGAAATGTGTGTTGCTGTTTCCATGCCGTGTGGTTGCATGCTAAAGATTGCGCACGGAGTCATGTCGTCGTTGTCTTTTGTGTTGTTTTATCACATGACGCACGCGTGAATGACCATCGCATTGTCGTCCGCATCTTTTTCTGTATGAGGCCCTTTCTTTCGATTTCACCTATCGCGGCATCGTTGTCATCGCCGTCAACTTAAGAAAGAAAAGAAATAAAAGGAAAAAAGGCAGGAACCCAAACGTGCACTTTCATTGTCATCTTTGTGTGCTTGGCGCCCGTGTTTCCCTTCCTCATGCCATCACCGGATCCTAATGATTGCACCTACCATGAAGGAAGGGGGGAAAAAATGAAAACAAAAAATTGAACTACTACAAGGAAGGTCACAACGCAGTTGCCTGGTGAGCACATCTGTCGCGAGTTCATCTTTCTTTTGTTTGTCGATGCATGTCAGTCGTCAATGTAACAATGAAGCTTTTCCAACAACAATTCACAAACGCGATGCATGTCATTCGTCAATGCAACAACGAAGCTTCTCCGACAACATTTCACAAACGCAGACAAGCCGAGACGATATGCACAACACACGTTCCATGCACCACCACAAAAAAAAAGATCCCTCGAAACAATAGCAGCAGTCGGCTACACCAAAACATCCATTCCCAAACATCATCAAAAATATTCACCGTTCGAAAGTTAAAAAAAAAAAAGGCGTTGTGAAGCGCATGCGAACCAGCGAGCTCACGAACCTCTTCGTGCCAGCCCTCGACTACGACTCCCATCTAAGACTACCCCCCCATCAAACAAGGACCGAACCCGTCGACAACTCCACGACATTGCGCGGGAAAACCAACTTCTCGGCCACGACGACAATTAAGAGCCAAAAAACGAAAAGACGACCGTAGAGGACGAATACTACATCAGCGACCCCGTCGCACTCCTGCTGCGCGACGGACTGGACCTATACAGCGTCATGGAATACAAGAACAAACACCTGAAAAGAACCCGACCGTGACGGCAGACCCTCACTGGCGATCGCGCGCGTAAGTGGAAGACGAAAGAGTTGTCGGCCGACTATGGTGGGACACGACCTCAACGGGACGAACAGGTAGGTGGCTGGCTGGATCAAATGTGTTTCATCCACTGCGCCAGTGGATTGCGGAGCGCGTGAGCCTCGTGCGTCGAAGTCAACATGGACACTTGTTGCGGGGGGCGATTAATCCCTTGGTCCACTCGGCGCCTCACCCCGTTCGCATCGACCTCCCACAACAAATTCTCGTCGAACTCGATGCCTACATCGAACAGGATGTTGTGGAGAATGCATACTGTTATGAACTGCTGCGTCATACTGTCGAGGTTCGTCTTGTGCGTCCGCAGGAAAAGCCTCCACATCCCTTTCAACCTCTCGAACGTCCTCTTCACGGCCCCTCTTGCGACCTTCTGCTTCGTGTCGAACCTTTCCTCGTCTGGGTGCTGATTGATTCCTCCGTACGGCATGACCACCCACTCAGAAGGAGGATACCCGTTGTCGCCCAAGATGTATCCGTTCGTCCTCACCCCTCCCGGCAGCGTCACAAGCAGCCCACGAAACAACAATCCCTCTTCCGCGCGCCTCGACAGACTTGACAGCTGGATCACCCTAATGTCGTGGCAGCTCCCCGGATATCCAACGAACACATCAAGGACGCGCAGATCCAGGTCCACCACAACCTGCGCAATGACGGAAAAAYGGTGCTTGCGGTCGAAGTAGTTCTCGCTCGGCGCGTTYGSYRGTTTGTCCACGTAGATGTGTGTGCAGTCAACTGCGCCATGGCAGTTTGGAAAGCCCTTGTCCAGAAATGCCCGTAGCACGACTTGTTTCCGCACCCCCGTCGGCCACGATATCTTGTCCCCGTACACCCTCAAAATAGCGGCTGTCACATCGCGCACAGCTCGAACTCCGGAAGTCCTGCCTATGCCGAAGGATGATGTGTTGTTATCGTAAGACTCTCCTGTGGCCCACCTATACAGTGCGTACGCGACGATCTGCTCCGGCTGTAGTGGCTCCCTGTAAAACGTCACCTGCCGCTGCACATGAGGCGCACATGCTTCGCTGATCTCCATGAACACTCTCCTGGACATGCGGAGCTTTTCCCGGAAGTAGTCGTCTGTCACGTCATCGCACACCCGTAAATCCTCCCAAGTCCCGTCAGCTCTCCGCCGCATCCACCAACGTGGCGTCGCCCGAGAAAACAAACCGCACCCGATTGCAGCCCACAGCTGAACCACGGCTTGGGATGTGGTGATGCAGTCCGGGGCGTCGAACACCCTTTGCAGCAAAAGCCTCTGCCGCCGCCTCGAAAGCGCTGCCTTCATGCACCCGGCCGCACTCTCAATTTGGAAATGACGGACAACGGCAACCGCAGCCGCCGCACAACTGTCTTCTCCGTCGTCGACAGCACAGCAGGTCCATCGCCATCGCAGCCATCCATCACGTCCTTCGAAGACAAAAAACGACGTCCACCGCCGCCCACCTCCGTGCACCTCTGCCACCACGTTTGAAGACGCCTGCAACCACGTCAGGAAGACAGCCCGGCCCAATGACGCGATTCCGATTGGAGCGTCCACCCACCGCCGCTGAAGAGCAGGACCGCCGCGGCGCCTGCACGTGGCGAACGCGACTGCCTACCGGACGTCTTCGTTTTGCCGCGTCGACCACACTTGACGCAGTGGCGGTGCRGCGCCGCTGAAATACGCAACGCGATGGCAAACGAAACCCTGCGAGGCGTAGACTGTCCCCTGGCCGACCCGCCTGTGCGCCGCCACCACGTCGCTCCGCAAGATCAAAATTCGAAATTCGAATTTCGAAAGGGGATGTTCCCGCGTTGGCGATTTTTTTTCCAAGGGCCCGTGACGTTTTCCCGCCGTCCGCCTGTTGGACCACCACGCCTGCTACACGGACATCCTGAATCGGAGGCCAGACATTCCTCTCACGGCTGTGTATAATCTAATTAAACTGGCCGCGGGAGGGCCCCGAGGATTCATCCTCGGGACAATTCTCCGAGGACAGGTGGAACGACACCTCCGAAAATAAAAAATTACTCCGAGGATTCGTCCTTGGAGCCCGAGGACGTGTGGAACCACGCCCAAACAACCCCAGTAGAGTCTAATGTGGAAACAACCCCAGAGTGCAATGTGAAAGCCCTCCAGAAAGCCGGTGTCCTATCAAGTCTGACTGATGATGATGATTGCCCAGTATTGGTAGTCTATTCTGCACACAGGTGTTGGGATCGCGACCTGCATTAGCATAGTCGCACACAAGTGTATCTTTTTTTAATTTTTTTAACAAGTGTATCTATGGCCCTCGCTCCACTACTCACCACATGCACAAAAGGCAAAAGATATGGCGGTGTACCTTCCCATGTTCTAGCAGAAGATTCGTTCTATTTATTATTATTATTTTTTTTCAAATCTCATTTTGCACATTTGGTGAGTAGTGGAGAGCCTGGAGCGAAGGCCCCATGCCCATGGGCCTCGCGCTAGACTACGCAACATTCGTATCTGGACTGCCGTATGGACCAGGTATATTCGGACCGACGGAGCATTTGAATGTATTGGGGCCAGTGGATGTCCAGGTGCATTTCAAAGGTTTTGCAATGGAGCGAGGCGCCACGTCGCACACATGTGCAGTAGTATTCGCCCTAGTGCGGATGTAGTTAGGCGCGAGGCGGGAAAAAGTGGTGCCACGACGGATTTCCTCCCCCCCCTCTTCCCCCTTTTCACCCCCTCCCCCTCCCCTTTCCCCCCTCTCTCTCCCCCCCCTCTTTGCGCGAAGGATTTGCCAACCATAACAGTAGTAGAGTAGATTGATACACCTTGTCTTCCCCCCCCCGCAAACAAAACAAAAAATACACCTGCAGAAAGAAAAAAAAAAGGATGCACATGGGACAGCAAAAAAGCATCATCACAACAACGTGACCGGAAGAGGCGGAGGCGGAGGCGGAGGCGCGCGCATGGCGCTCCTTAGCTCGCTGTGTAAGTTGGCAGATGCTGAGAGGGGATGGTCCAGATACAGAATGGAGAAGGAAGCAAGAGGGGGGAGTGCGGGCTGGGGGGAGTGGGGGCAGGGTTGAAGGCGCAGGTGTTCCGCGTCCCTGCGCGGATGGTGGGATCTGCAGCGCGGGACATCTACGTGCCACTGGCCGGTATACCATATCCCGACGCGAGCTGCTTACCACTGGGTAACGTTGTGAAAATTCGCTGAAGCTCTAGGCACGGAGATGCTATGGCGGAGCGGCAATAGTCAGACAGGCACTAAGTCTTGTGTTTCAAGGCTACAGTGGAGACGAAAGGACACTGGCAAGAGGGGAACGGTTCATTGGCGCGCGGGATTGCAAGAAGGAGAATGAGAGGACTGCGCACGGGGGGGAAACAGGGGGAAAACGTGAACAGGGAGCGATTGAGCGAGAGAGCGAGAGAGCGAGAGAGCGAGAGGGCGAGAGAGCGGAGAGCGAGAAAGATAGATAGATAGACAATACGCGCGCTCGAGCTCGTCTGGGAGAGAGAATAGATTGAGAGAGAGAGAGAGAGAG